TTTCAAGACGGTTTCGAAGCCCCCGAGATCGCCTCAAGACGCCCCAAAAGGCCACCAAGAAAGCTTCAAGACGGCCGAGCCGGGCCCCACGATCGCCCACGAGAGCCCTAAGACAGCCCATAATGGAACCAAGAGGCCACCCAAGGGCTTCCAGCACAAACACAAAAGGGCCATGGGAGGTCCCCGGAAGTGCCCAAGATGGGTCCAAAGGGGGCTCCAGCGGGCCCAAGCTCCCCAAGACGGCCCAAGAAGGCCCCAGGACGGCCCATGAAGGCGCCAAAACGGCCCACGAGGGCCCCGAAAACACCCCCACGATGTTTCCGAATGCCAACATAAAGACCCCCAGGCACCCCAAAAAGCTTTCCAAGGGGCCTTCAAAGCACAAACATCGTCCCATTCCCTTCGTAAAACTTAGAATTTTAGCATATTCGCCTTTCGGATTTCATCAGCTTTCAAGACGGTTTCAAAGCCCCCGAGATCGCCTCAAGACGCTCCAAAAGGCCCCCTTAGAAAGCTTCAAGACGGCCGAGCCGGGCCCCACGATCGCCCACGAGAGCCCCAAGACAGCCCATAATGGAACCAAGAGGCCCCCCAAGGGCTCCCAGCACAGACCCAAAAGGGCCATGGGAGGTCCCCGGAAGTGCCCAAGATGGGTCCAAAGGGGGCTCCAGCGGGCCCAAGCTCCCCAAGACGGCCCAAGAAGGCCCCAGGACGGACCATGAAGGCGCCAAAACGGCCCACGAGGGCCCCGAAAACACCCCCACGATGTTTCCGAATGCCTACATAAAGACCTCCAAGGCACCCCAAAAAGCTTTTCCAAGGGGCCTTCAAAGCACAAACATCGTCCCATACCCTCCGTAAAACTTACAATTTTAGCATATTCGCCTTTCGGATTTCATCCGCTTTCAAGACGGTTTCAAAGCTCCCGAGATCGCCTCAAGACGCCCCAAAAGGCCACCAAGAAAGCTTCAAGACGGCCGAGCCGGGCCCCACGATCGCCCACGAGAGCCCTAAGACAGCCCATAATGGAACCAAGAGGCCACCCAAGGGCTCCCAGCACAAACACAAAAGGGCCATGGGAGGTCCCCGGAAGTGCCCAAGATGGGTCCAAAGGGGGCTCCAGCGGGCCCAAGCTCCCCAAGACGGCCCAAGAAGGCCCAAGAAGGCCCCAGGACGGCCCATGAAGGCGCCAAAACGGCCCACGAGGGCCCCGAAAACACCCCCACGATGTTTCCGAATTCCACCATAACGACCCCCAAGGCACCCCAAACAGCTGTCCACAGCTGTCCAAGGGGCCTTCAAAGCACAGAAATCGTCCCATTCCCTCCGTAAAACTTTCAATTTCAGCAGATTCGCCTTTCGGATTTCATCAGCTTTCAAAACGGTTTCAAAGCCCCCGAGATCGCCTCAAGACGCTCCAAAAGGCCCCCTAGAAAGCTTCAAGACGGCCGAGCCGGGCCCCACGATCGCCCACAAGAGCCCCAAGACAGCCCATAATGGAACCAAGAGGCCCCCCAAGGGCTCCCAGCACATACCCAAAAGGGCCATGGGAGGTCCCCAGAAGTGCCCAAGATGGGTCCAAAGGGGGCTCCAGCGGGCCCAAGCTCCCCAAGACGGCCCAAGAAGGCCCCAGGACGGACCATGAAGGCGCCAAAACGGCCCACGAGGGCCCCGAAAACACCCCCACGATGTTTCCGAATGCCAACATTCATTGATTTTGGTCCCATGACATTTCTCATTGTGACCCAGTCGTTGAGGGTTTCGTGGCATGCAGCGAAGATGCCCGAGGATGCCCCTGATACACACATACAACAATGTAAGTATATTGTATACACCTAGACATGTGTACGGACCGTGCATGCACGTGCGCGTGTATACATACATGCGCGCATGCACGCACGCACGCATTCCGCTTGCGTGCAGAACTTAAAGAACCAAGGTGCATGGCGCGCAGCGCCAATGCAGTCTTGTATGTGTATATATATATATATATATATATATATATATGTGTGTGTATGTATACAAGACTGCAGTGGCGCTTCGCGCCATGCACCTCGGTCCTCGAAGTTTGGTATGCAGGCGGAATAGCAGGAAGGCCAAGCCAACAATTCAGCAAACACTCCTTGTTGCCTTGTCTGGCATCGCCGCTATAATGATGTTATTCGTTGTCCTTTCTCCATGCTTCTTTTTCCTAATTTTCGCCATGCCCTGCGCATTCTCCCCATCCTCCTCAGCTCTTTTTTTGCGGAGGCTCCTCCTTTGTGGGGCGAGTTTGGAGCCTCCCAGGCGACTTCGGAAGCCCAGAAGACCGCCGTCTTGGAGGGTCGGGAAGCCGAAAAGAGGAGAACCCCAAAATTCACCAAAAACCAATTGAAAATCAATGATTTTTGCCCCTTGGGGCCTTCTTGGGAGTGCTCTTGGAGGTCTCTTTGGGGCCGTCCTGGAAGCCTCTTGGGCCATCTTGCGGTCACGTCGATCACTCTTGGAGCGCTCTTGTGCTGTCCTGGGGGTCTCTGGGACGTCTCCGATGACCCCCCTGATCGCCCTAGGTGTGCTGTGAAGGCTTGGCAAAACGCCCTGCGAGGCCCGGGGGGCCGCTTCGAGGCCCGTCCGGAGGGTCCCAAAGCTCCATATCCCGGGAGCCATTTTTTTTGTTGGGGGGGTCCCCCCGCCCGGGCTTATAAAAATATAGGAAGAGGAATCTCTCTCTCTATATATATATATGCATATAAACACACATATATATATCTTTATATGTGTGTTTATATGCATATATATACACCTGTATATATACACACATATATATATGTATATAAATATACATATATATATGTATATACACATATTATACACATATGTATATATATATATATATATTTATATATACACATATATATATGTATATATATATGTATCGGGCAAGTTCTCAGTGACCGAAGTAAAGAGGCCAGGGCGGGGCAGAAGGAGCAGCAGGGCGGGGCGGGGAGGGGGGGCGGAGGCGGGGCGGCGCCTGATGCCGCTGCAGGCGTCGGCGGAGGAGGACCAGTGCAAACCCTAGAGTCATCAGCGATGTTGGAATACGCCCTCCCTCCAAACTCCCCCTTCACAGGCGCCTTAAACGGTGCAGCTCCGCTGAGGAAACTGCCTCGTTGGAAGACAACCGTTTGAAGACCCCTCCGCCTGCCAAAACATTGTCCTCGGGATTCCAGCGCCACAGGTCAACCTGACTGTTGCGTCTTAACGATGCAGAATCGTGCCAGAACGCCGTTCCTGGGACTTCAGCACCGGTAACTGTTGCGCCCTCATAATCCTGAATCCTCCGAAAACACAGATTCTGGTACGCTGATCGTGGGAATCCGTGAAACTCTTACAAATGTTAAATACGAGTGTGCGCGGCGCCAAAGCGAGAGCCACATGTTAAACAAGACACCGCAGTCAATCCACAAAACTCTTACACTATGTCTTAACGAATGCACGCGGCGCTAAGGCGAGAGCCGCATTTTGAAGACGGCCCGCCCTCAATATGTGAAGCTCTTGTAACTGTTTAAAACGAATGTGCAAGGCGCTGAGGCGAGAGCCATATTTTGAACAGAAACCGCCTGGACACCACGTGAAACTCTTGCGGATTTTTTAGACGAATGCGCGATGCGCTAAGGCGAGAGCCAAATTGTGAAAGCGACCCGACCTCCACCTGTAAAACTCTAGCAAATGTGTAAAGCGAATTTGAGCGGCGCTAAGGCGAGAGCCACGTTTCGAAAACGACCCGCCCTCCATATGCGAAACTGTTGCCAATGTTTGAGTTTCAGGGCAATACATGGTGAGGAAGTCTCAGGCGAAACGCCCGGCCCGCCCTTAAAACTTGCCTCGGGGTGCGACAAGGAAGAAGTATATGGAAAAGGATTGGAGGAGGAGGAGGAGGAAAAGGAGCAGGAGGAGAAGGAGGTGCAGCAGCAGGCGGATCAGGAGGAGGCGGAGGAAGCGGAGGAGGCGGAGGAGGTGGAGACGGAAGCGGAGGAGGAGCAGCAGGCGGATGAGGAGGCGGAGACGGAGTATCAGCGTCAGGCGGAGTAGGCTCAGCAAGCGGAGGAGGACGAAGCGGACGAGGAGGAGCAGCAGGCGGAAGAGGAAGATGAGGAGGAAGAGGAGGAGGAGGAGGAGGAGGAGAATGAGGAGGAGGAGGAGGATGAGGAGGAGGAGGAGGAAGGGGGAGGAGGAGGAGAAGGAGGAGGAGGAGCAGCAGGAGGAGCTAGAGGAGGAGGAGGCAGGAGAGGCGGAGCAGTGGAGCAGCGCGCAGGGGGCGCAATGCCCCTCGCCTACGCCTGCTCACCTGCCTGGTCAGAGGGCACCTCGTGGGTCTCCAGGTCGCCTCCGCCTCTGCCCACTGTGCCTGACTGCAGGACCTTGCCCGCCTGGTCCACCACTTAGGAGTAATCGGTCTGCGGAGGAGGACGAAGGACTGAGGCCGAGGAAGGAGGAGGAGGAGGAGAAGGAGGAGGAGGAGGAGGAGGAGGAAGGAGAAGGAAGACGGGGAATGAGGAGGAGAAGAAGGAAGAGGAGGAGAAGGAGAGGAGGAAGATGAGAAAGATTTCGAGGAAGATGAGAATGGAGGAGGGGGTCGGGAGGCTCGCGGATGCTACACACCTCGCGGGGCCCCGCGCCCCTCATCCCGCGGCTGCTAAGTTCCGCCCTCGACACGGGAGCATCGAGGATGGGGTGTCTCCTGGGGGTGTCATGAGCGGTCTGGGGACCGTGTGTTTGGGCTTCCGACCGGGTGCCTCCGGGGGGGGCCTCCCCGGGATCTCCGGGGACCTCCCCGGGGGGCCAAGATCTGGGGCAGAGGCAGGGCTCACCACCCTCGGGCACCTGGCGCAGCAGAAGGAACGTTTGAAGGGGCCCACAAACACACAAATAAATACACACAAATAACGGGAATCCCCATACGTTTCCATATTTTCTGGGTTTCCGTCTTCCCCCCCACTTCCCATATTTTCCGATATTTTCCTGGGAGTCGACGATCCATTATGTCTGTATGTTTCTTTACCTCCTGAATGTTGGGGGTAGACGGGGGGGACATTTCTGCTCACGGGGCATCGAGGACGGCGCACGGACCCGCCGCGGCCATCGCCATGGCCCAGTCCTAGCCCAGTCATAGCGGGGGCACGGCGCCTCCGTCAGTCCGCTCGCTGCGGCAGCGGGGGATGCGCCTTGTCGGGCTGCTCCGCCGCGCTGGCGCCAAGCCGCACGTGCGTGCAGTAGGCGGCCACGCCGCCGGCCAGAAGGAGGGCGAGCACGCCGAACGTCGAGAGGGCTGCTGCCTGGACCGCGTCGGGCTCGTCCCCCCTCTCCTGCTTCGCCTGCTGCGCCCCAGGGCCCGAGCCCACCGCCTCCCGGTACTTCTGCTCCGCCGACTCCACGTGCGCCCGGCGGGCCGCCGCTGCGGCCTCCTCGGTGACGGCGCGGTCGGCGGTGGTCCAGGTCTTGTTGAGCAGGCTGTCCGAGTAGCTGCTGGCATCTGGCACCCTGGTGGTGCTGTCTGGGGCGGGCGCGGGGCGGGCCGCGGCACCGCTCGTCGGCCGCTGCTCCCCGAAGACGAAGCCCTGGAGCTCCCGGCGCTGGACGTCGGCGGCGTAGTCCTCTGCCTGGTGCTGCAGGGTGGTCCACGTGATCCCGTCGAGGGAGCCCCTGAACTTCCACCGCACGGGGTCGTGGGCGGCCACGCTGCCCGTGATGAAGCCAAAGCCGTCTACGCTTTCGGGCTCGGGGAGCCGAATGGTAACGGGCTCCAGCTTCAGGTCGGTCCAGATCGAACTGGTGTTGCCGTCGATCAGCAGGTTGCAGTCCGTGGCCCCCAATGGGGTGCTCACGGTGGCCCCCGACGTGCTGACCTGCCAGCCGTTGTTCGAGAGCACGATCTCGGCGATCTCCATGACCTGTTGGGGGCCGCGCACCCTGAGGGGCTCGAACTGGTAGTACGTGAAGGCCGAGTCCTCGGGCCTGTCCCTGGCTGCCGATGCTGAAAGCTTGTGCGGCAACACGTACACCCAGCCTTCCTTTGCCGGCGGGCTGGGCGTCGACGCTGCCGCCACCGCGGGCACCTGCAGCGGCGACACGACACACTCCTCGCTGGTCCACATGACGGTTCCGTCGAGCTCTGGGCAGCCGGCGCCCTTCCCCAGGCCGTCATTGATGAACGCCTTCGAGCAGAGCTCCATCCCCTTGGCCTTGCAGGCGGCCTTCGCCTCGGCCCAGCTGGCGTTGGATCTGCAGCCCGGGCGGGTGGCGCTGCGCGTGTAGGCGCTGCAGCACGTCAGGCTGGCCCCCTCCGAGTCGGGGCGGCACTCGCCAGACCCAGCGGACGAAGACACCTTGGCCACCACGTGCCCCTTCACCGGCCCTGCTGTCGCGTTGTCCTCCTCTGCACCCGCGTCCGCCTCGGAGTCCGCGGGGGCCGGTGCGGCAGAGGCAGCGCTGCCGTCGGCGCTGCTGTTGACGCCGAGGTCGGCACTGTGCGCCCTCGGAGCCGGCAAATCGCCCTGCACCTCATTCGGCGTTGCCAGCGGTGGCCCCGGCAACAGGGTGGCCCCAGCTTCTCCGGTGACGCCAGGGCGGCCTCCTGAACACTGCTCACGAGGCCTGGACGGCCCGAGGGGCTTCCTGGCCATCGCTCGGACTTCCATTCCCTGTGCTTTCGGTTTCGTGCGAGGCTTGTTCGCCGAATGATCAAGGATGCTCCTCGATGGTCCTCGCCGAAGGAATAATGCACACGTCCGAGCGATGCCAAGCTCCTGGGTGGCGCGAAAGACTGGGGGGCACCCAGGGCCAGGGCCACCTCTGGTAACCGCCGGGCCTCGGCGAGCTTGACGACGCTGGCGTCCTCCGGGCGAGGACTCTTCCGGGCTGCCTCGATGAAACCAGAGGCCTGCACAACGACGGAGGCGGCCACAGCCTGCGACCCCGCGGGCGCCGCCGGGGCCGCACCAGGAGGCCAAGCGCCGTGAGCGCTCGCATCTCCTGGGCGGCGCGCGGCAGTCAGCAACTGCTCTCCGAGGCTGGCACAGGCTGCCTTCTCGGGGCCCACGAGAAGGGAAACGAGTATGAACGCGGAGGCGGGCCGCGGATGTCCTGAGGGGTGAGCCATGCCGTGTCCGTGAGGATGAGCGGATCAGCTGGCCTCTGCGAATAGCAGCTGGTTCTTCTTGGAGATCATCGAGCCACAATGGTACGAACCCCTCTTCCCTCTCTTCCACCTCTCATCTTCCTCGTGCCTCCGCGCCCTCGAGGAGGAGCAGGGGCATGACAAAGAAGGATCCGAAAAGACCCCAAGCGTTTAACATGAACGTTCTGAGCTTCATTATGACTGCTTCCCCCTTTGGTGGTTCAAATGTTTGGGCCCTCTGGGAAGGGTCGCCCGCCTCCCACCCAATTCTCATCCCTTCTCCTCATCATCACCCTCATGCTGTTGATCCGCGTGAACTCATATTGCAGAACACCCGCCATGCAGCCTGTGGCTGCTAACCTTCCCCTGCTTCAGTCCAGGATGAAAAGCTGAGGAAGGACAATGAGGCGAACATAGGAGATACAGGAGAAGATGGAAAGGACTGCCTGTGCGCAGCCCCAGGCCCCACCACACCTCCTCCTGCTCCTCCTCCTCCTCCTCCTCCTCCTTTCCTCCTCCTCATCCTCCTCCTCCTTTCCTCCTCCGCCTTTCCTCCTCCTCCCTTTCCTCCTCCTCCTCCTCCTCCTCCTCCTCCTCCTTTTCTCCTCCTCCTCCTCCCCCTCCTCCCCTCTCCTCCTCCTCCTCCTCCTCCTCCTCCTCCTCCTCCTCCTCCTCCTCCTCCTCCTCCTCCTCCTCCTCCTCCCCCTCCCTTGTTTTAACATGTTGACGCTGCGTTTTTGGTCTATGGCACCCGGTTTCAGCATTCGCTCAGCAGTTAGCTCGGCCAAGGGCCTGGGAAACGTAAGCTAAAACGCGGACCGCCGCGCACCCGCAGCTCGGAGAGATCCGTGGGGATGGGCAGGTCCTCGAGTGTTGTCCCTGGCTCACCCCTCATACGGCTCTCGCCATCGCTCCGACGTCCATTCCCTGTGTTTTGTTCGGTTTCGTGCGAGTTTTTTTCGCCAAATGCTCAAGGATGCTCCTCGATGGCCCTCGCCGAAGGAAAAATGCACACGTCCGAGCGGTGCCAGGGGCTTGTGTTTCCTTCAAGTTGCCGCGATTGTGGGGAGCCTGGGGTGGCCCGTGAGGAAGAAAGGGAGAGCAGCAGCATAGTATAACATTCCGGCTCCTCAAAACTGCAACGGTCTGCGCAGCTTTCGGCTGGCACTCACAGGTACCCCCGCATCGGCGTCATCGCATTCTAGAGTCCTCCTCCTCGTCCTCCATCTCGTCCTCCTCCTCCTCCTCTTCCTCCTCCTCCTCATCCTCCCGCCTTCCTCCCCTTTCTCCTCTTCCTCCTCCTCCTCCTCCTCTTCCTCCTCCTCCTCCTCCTCCTCCTCCGCCTGCTGCTCCTCCTGCTCCTGCTCCTGCTCGTGTTCCTCGTTCTCCCCCTCCTCCTTCTCCTCCTCCTCCTCCTCCTCCCCTCCATCCTCCTCCTTTTCCTCACTCCTCTCTTCCTACCTCTTCCCTCCTCGCTCCCTCCCTCCCTCCCTCCCTCCTTCCTTTCCCTCCCCTTCCGTCCTCCTTCCTTCCTTTCCTTCCTCCTTCCTTCCTTCTTCCTTCCCCTCCCTCCCTCCTGCCTGCCTCCCTCCCTCCCTCTCCTCCCTTCCTCCCTTCCTTCCCTTCTTCCCTCCCTCCCCTCCCTCCCTCCTCCCTCCTCCCTCATCCTCCCCCTCCCTCCCTCCCTCCCTCCCTCCCATCCTCCCTCCTCCCTCCCTCCCTCCCTCCCTCCCTCCCTCCCTCCTCCCGCCCTCCTCCTCACTCCTCCTCCTCCCCTCCTCCTCCTCCTCCTCCTCCTCCCTCCTCCTCCTCCTCCTCTCTCCTCCTCCTCCTCCTCCTCCTCCTCCCTCTCTCCCGGCCCTCTTCCTCTCCTCTCCTCCACCTCCTCCTCCTCCTCCTCCTCCTCCCCTCTTCTCCTCCTCCCTCCTCCTCCCTTCCTCCTTCCTCTATCCCGCCTCCCTCCCTCCCTCCTTCCCTCCCTCCCACCCTCCAGGCGGCGACCGCGTCCACCCAAGCGCCCGAACACTTCTTGATCGTGAGCCGGCGCAACCCACCAAAACCAGGACCAGCACACCGCTCAGCAGTGGCTGGCCCCAGACCCCAGAGCGGAAGGACTGCGCCGGCCAGGGCCTTTCCGACGAATGGGACCGTCACGGCGCACGCGACGATAGCGCGGTCCACCGCGAGCTCCGGCCAGCAGCCCTGGCCCAGAGCCAGGAAGCCCAGCGCCCGCTCAGCCGCCCGCCCCGCTGGCAGCTCCTCGCCCAGCTGCGCCACGGCGCCCGCAGCTTTGGCCGGCGGCCAGCGCCGGATGCGTGCGCGGCAGGGCCCGAGGGTGTGCCACTGCGGCGGGTCTTCCCATGCAGGCTTGGTCGCCGCCGCGGCACTGGCGTGCAGCCCCATGCTTTCCGCCACGCCCCTGGCTCATGACCCGCCCCAGGCAGGTTCGCATGCCCCGCGTGGATGGGCGATCCTTTTCAGGCCCCTGCCAGCCGAACGCGCCCGCGCCTGGCTGCGCCGCGCGCAGGACCGTCTTGGCCTGCGCGCGCTGGAGCGCCGTGGCGATGCGCCAATACGCGCGCCGCATCGCGCCGACCCTCTCGTCCCGCAGCAGCGGAGCGTGCAGCGCGCCCAACAGTGCCAGCGCGGACAGCCCCACACGGCCCCCGCTCTCCAATGCCAGCGGCACGAGCTCGGGGTGTGGGTAGCGGGTCCGCGTGGTGCGGTCCAACGTGAGGGCGAGCCCGCCGTCCCGCGAAGCAGCGGACCGGGCGACCGACCCCCTGCCGCTCGGGTGGCCGACGGTGAAGTCCGCATGCCTGGTGCGGCCCCCCGGCAGCGCGGAGCTCAGGTCGAGTCGCGCCTCGCGCCCGTGGGGCGCAGCCCACTACCATCTGCTCCAGCTGCGGCGGGGCCCCGAGCGTGTCTTCGGCACGCGGGCCTACGCGTGCTTGACGCGCTCGTGCCAGCTCACGTGGCCTGGGCCCCGGGGGCAGCAGAGCGCGTGCGTGGCCAGCGGGTCGTGCTGCGCCTGCGCGGGCGCAGACCGCGCACGCGGGCGGCAGGTGAAGGGGCAGCGCCAGCCGAAGGTGGACCGCCGCGGCGAACTCATCGTCGAGCATCCAGTCCTCGCCCTTCTCCGCAGGGAGCAGCCAGGCCCCGGCCCTCGGCCCGCCCCCCGCGCACAGCAGAGCCCGCAGGGGGAGCAGGAGCTCATCCAGCAGCGCGACCCGCGCCGCCTCCGCCAGCGCGTGCCCCCACTGCTGCTGCAGGCGCCGTCGCTGCAGCGTCAGCCTCGGCCGTCCCTCCCTCCCTCCCTCCCTCCTTCCCTCCCTCCCTCCCCCCTCCAATCCCGACCGGGAGCGCGGCCGCGGCTGGCCCTCCACCGCGCCCCGGCCGCGCTGCACGGGGCGGGGGGGCGGGCACCGCCGCCGCGAGGTCGGCGGGCAGGCCGTCCCGCGGGCGTGGCAGGGGGCCTCCTGCGGGGCGCGGGCGCCGACAGCGGCGGCGACGGCGGCCTGCCGTCCGCGGCCTGCCGTCGGCGGCCGTGGCCTGCCGGCGGCAGGCAGCCCGAGGGGGCGGGCGGCGGGCGCGCGGCGGCGCCGGCGGAGACGACGACGGCTGCGGCGGCCCTCGAGGGGCGAAGGCGGCCGTGGGCCGTGGACGCCCTTCGGCAGCCTTGGGTTGCCTTCGGCTGCCTTCGGCGGCGGCGAGGGCGGCGGCAACGACGACGACGACAAAGAGGATGAGGGTGAGGAGGGCTCGCCTACCAGGTCCCCGGAGAGAGAGGGGGGGAGGTAGGAAGGGAGGTCGGGAGAGCGGGATGAGGCTGGAGGAGGCGGGGGAGGGCGGCGCAGGAGGCGGAGGAGAGCGAAGCGGAAGGGTAGGATAAGGAGGGAAGAGGCAGCGAACGAGGGAAAATAAACAAGGGCGGAGGAGGCGGGGGGGGGGCAGGAGAGCGAGGAGACATATATATTATATATATATATATATATAATATATAATATAAACATATATATATATATAAGAACGAATAACGCTACAAACAACGAGAAAGAACGAGAGAGAGAGAGAGAGCGAAAACAAACATATAATACAACTAAGAAGCACATAGGGAGAGGGAGAGAAACAGAGAGAGAGAGAGAGAGAAACATCGGGGGAAAATGAAGACGCTGAGAAGGAGGAGCAAACAAGAAAAGGAAGACGCCACCATCCCGCCACGAGAACAAGCACTGGC